AACTACGGTGGAAGTGACATAAGTAGCACGGATCTCACATTGGGTGCGCCGGGTGTGCTGGGTGCGCTGCTGGGTGCGCCAAATGTGCCGGGTTTGCTGGGTGTGCCGGGTGAGCTGGGCGTGCCAGGTGCGCCGGGTGTGGGTGTGCCTGGCATGCACGGTGCACCAGATGCGCCACTTGTGCCGAGTGTGCAGGGCGTGATGGGTGTGGTGGGGGTGCTGGGTGCGCCAGGTGTGTTGGGTGCGCCTGGCCAGTAATGGGTGTGTCGGCTGTGCCAGGTGCGCCGGGTGTGCTGGGTGTGCTGGGTGTGCTGGGTGCGCCAGTTGTGCCGGGTGTACAAGGTGCGCAGAATGTATTGGGTGCGCCATGTGTGCCGGGTGCGCCGGGCGTGCTTGCGCCGGATACGCTGGGTGGGCTGGTTGTGCCAGGTGTGTTGGCCGGGTGCGCCAGCTACACCGGGTGCGCCGGGTGTGCTGGATGCATTGGTTGCGCTGGGTGTTCTGCTGGGCATGCAGGATGCACTGGGTTCGCTGTGTGCGTTGGGTGTGCCGGATGCGCCAGGTATGTTGGGTGCGCTGGGTTTGCTGGGTGTGCGGGTGTGCTGGGTGCGCCGGGTGCGCCGGGTTCGTCCCGATGCGCTGCTATTCAGAGGGCCCGGGGGGCCCCAGATTCGAGCGAAAATTTTGGAATTGAAAACTTTGTGCCAGGGACACCGTTAGCATCAACATCGTGCAAACAAGCCCGACTCCACCAGACCATGGCACCCCAGCCCCACAAGCCCCCCCCCTCCCAGGCCCCGCAAAACTTGACGGGAACACCGCCATGCCAGTGGGGATGGGCATCGGTCACACGATGCTCATGGCAACCCTCGATTCAGCGCCACTCTCGCCGGCGCGGTCACAGGCGCATGCGGGGCCCGGCGGCGCACCGCCGCCGAGCGCGGCCGCGCCTCTCGGCCCGCCCTCTGCTCCCTCGCGAACCCGGCTCCTGCACGTCCCTCCCTGCTCTCTCATCCTCCTCTCCTCCTCTCTCCTCCTCTCACCCGCCTCACTCATCTCTCCTCTCTCCTCTTTCCTCTCTCCTCTCTCCTCTCCCCTCTCTCCTCTGTCCTCTTCTCCTCCTCCTCCTCCTCCTGCTCCTTCTCCTCCTCCTCTTCCTCCTCCTCCTCTCCTTCGCCTCTCCTCCTCTCCTCCCCTCCTCCTCCTCTCCTCCTCCTCTCCTCCTCCTCCTC